AGACATAGAAATAATTATGTTTTGACTTTCTTAGAAAATATGAAATTGTAACTTTAACCATACAATGGGGTTCGAATGGCCTAGGTAAGGGGAAACACTTAAGCGACTCCTTTAAAATCTGGTAGCTAAGCTATTTACAGTCCTTACAGGGTTGATTTTTTTTTTAAAACATCGCCGGCGATTTACCTGAAAGCGTCAAAATGTTCTGTTGCTGACTATGTTAAAATGCCAACCAACTATCTAGTGGTAACCACTCTTCTCATAAGTTCACTAAGTAATGTCCTTGATTTGATTTGTCAATGTTTTATTCCACTTGTCGCAAGCTGAATCGAGATCTTCCTCTCAACGATACAGTCGTTTCTAATGTGTACATTGGCGAAAGAATACCACTTTTTTCTGGAAGTGTGTTAAATCCCACTGATGCGTTATACAGATTTGTTTCCAGATAAAAATATCATTAATGTGATAGTTGCTTATTTAATTTAATAGCTTTTTAAAATAAAAAATCTTCTTTTGTTTGCAATGTGTAAAGGATTATGAAATGTTGCTTTACTGTGATTTTATGTGGTTATGTGGTTTTATTTTAAAAATTTTACATTAATAGTATCAGATAACTTTTTTGTGTATGTTGAAAATAATAAGTCAAAGCACCCTTATTTAAATTAAATTACAATTTTGACTCGTTTATATTTTCATACTACACATTGTAATCTAACCAGCTTTCTAGCATAACCTAGAACCCACAATATTAACTTTTAAAATTTTCATCATTCACCACAAAACGAAGTCCCGTATACCAATACACACAATTTTATGACCAATAAGTCCACGTGACCTGATCACCGTCTTCAAAGAAAAAACACGAAACGTAATTGACGTATGATTTTAATTAATTCAGATCTATATCAAAGACAATATGAAAGCGTGCGTCGGTAAAAAAAATATGAATTGTGAGAATTTTAACAAGGTTCATTATACGCGTGCATGTATTATGGTTTTCCAGTTTTGTATGTGTCACGCGTATGTGGTGTGGTCTTCCTGCATTTAACATCGTCCAGAGCGATCGCACTAATTTTTCTTTCCATAATAATCCACGGAGATCATATATTTGAAGCAAAAGGTTCATTGCCAGAAACAGAACCCAATGACCCTACCATTATTCAGCACAGAGAATTGATTTAACATTGAATCAGTTGGTCATAACCTTTATGGCATTTGTATTTTATCTAACCATTTTTGATGTTCTTTTAATAAACAAGAATCATAACAGCTCATTTCACAAATTGTTAGTGAAGACCCATCCTTTGTCAGTTAAGTTTTATGGACTCGCAAAACATAGTAATGCCATGAAAAAATCTATTTTTAATCTTAATTAAATTATATAAAACATTGTCAAAACATGACATAAAATTTTTATTTACCTATCTACGTCAGAGGTACGTAATTTTAGAGCCGATTTTCTAGCAGGTTAATTTTCAAGTGTGTTTTTGTATATAGTCATATAATGTGATAAACTTGTGTAGGCAGGTCTAAAAGAAATACTCCAATATAATCAGTACAGCATTACAATTGTAACGGGTTTAACGGGACTAGTTACATAAGGGCGACTTAAGAAGGGGTGGGTGTTTGTTTGTTTCAAAAAGATGTCTATTGTCATCTTTGAAATTATATCCGACCACTTGAAAGACGGTTGACCCGAGCCACAGCTTAAAGATACCCGCTAAGGAAATCATCTGTAATAGACAATAAAATCAGATATAAGCTTAATTAGAAATTGGTCAGTGCACATCAAAACTGTGACGGACATTAATGGCGACTACTGGGCAGTTCAGTTATGACGGCAACCTCATAAACGTTAGACCCCATTGGGTGATACTATAATTATGTTAATATAGGCCAATGATCCTAACGATCAGAATTTATTAGATACCCACGGGCCCGCCATTGATAGACACTGGTAATCAAATACTTAAACACCTTAAATTTAATCGTATAGAGGACTATTGTATTATTTCTCGGAGTGGTTGAAAAATATTGTGGAGTGACATGCTTTGTCGGCAGGGTCAACACGACCATGACCTCTAAGTTAAAACATATAAAATGTTTAGTTTGTAATAAATGTGGCAGTCATTTCCGATATGGAACAGTGATTGGTTTATAAATTGCTCTGAGAATCTCTGTCAAATACGTGGGGAATGGCATTACTTGTCCACCGATCTTCAATAGAAGGTTTGATCTCACTTTAATTTCGTACATCTTATGAAGCTACATGTTGTAAAATTTGCTTCACAGTTGCTTCATTAAGAGAGATAGAGAAATGGGGTTTAACGTCCACTCGACACAAACTAGGTCTTTTCGGGACTAACACATGGTTCAGTTTTATTTCAATAATTCGCTTGCGCGCTTGGGTCTTTAGCAGTGGGAGGAAACCGGAGGACCCGGAGAATACCCACGGAGGTTGGAAGGCGACCCTACTCCTTGTCACGTACAACCGGGGAATCGAAACCCCGCCAGTTGACTCAATGACAGACCGTATGATACAGCGCAGCGCACACGTGCTAACCATTCGGCCACCCCACCCCCACCCCCCTTGCTTCAGAAACATGATGTCCACCTTATGTTTGCGCCCTTCTGTGAGCTTCGACCGAGGACTAAGTGAGAGGTTATTTTGACCGCTTTCTTTTACAATAATGACACGTTTACAGAAAGATCTAAACCAATGTGCGGTTAGAACGCAGACTTTAAAATAATGGTATGATTGTACTGTAACCATTGACAACTGTCAAGGGTTCTTTCGCTTGCACACCATCGAGTGAACCTCAGTTTTTTGTACAATTCGAACAATTAGATGCGTTTCCTTGCCAGCCCCTCATTACAAATGATATACCTTCTTATGTAATTTGTTGTCCCCCGGCTTTCTTCAAGCAGGGGACTATTAAAATGGTTCGTCCGTCTGTCCATCTGTCTGTCCGTCACACTTTTTGGGACACAATAACTCTCCTTCTAATTGAGCTAGAATGTTCAAACTTGCTGTAGGTATTTATTAGGTCAATTCCTTTATGGAGTTCGAAGATGAGCATTTTCTGCTTAGGGTAAGCAGAGATAAGCAATTTGATTGGTTGATGCTTTGGGACACCCTAACTTTAGTTCTAATTCAGTGAGAGTGATGAAACTTGATGTATAGTTTTAATACATCAATACCTTGACTAAGTTCGATAATGAGCATTTTCTGCTCAGGGTAAGCAGAGCGATAAGTAATTTGATTAGTCGAGACTTTGGAACACAATTAGGTGAATGCCTTGATCTAGTTTGATGATAAACATTGTCTGCTTACGGTAAGCAGAGATAAGCAATCTCATTGGTTGATGGTTTGGGGCACGATAACTTTGGTTATAATTAATTAAGTGAGAGCGGTGAGACTCCGAGTATAGATTCATTATATCATTACCATAACATAAGTTCGATGATGAGAACTTTCTGCTTACGCTAAGGAGCGATAAGCATAACAACTCTGCTTTTAATAAATGATGTAGATGTTCATTAGGTGAATGTTTTGACTGAGTTCAATGATTAACATTTCAAGCCATAGCTAAGTAGAGCTAAGCAATTTCATTGGTCAGTGCTTTAGGACAAGATAACTTTGATTCTATCTGATAGAGAGTGATGAAACTTAGTGTATAGTTGATAATCAGTTTGATTACTTGATACTTTTGAAAGAAATAAATGTGCGATAAATTAATATGTGTCATATATCTATTTTGGGATTTCGGCGGGGGACATCAGCCTCACTGCGTTGGCTTGTTTTTCACACACATAGAATGCCATGTTGTACCACTGCAATAGAGTTCTTTGATAATAATAATAGTAACATTCCGGTTTTCAGTTTTATGCCATAAAATGTGCTATGACGGAAAATATTGCCTGGATAGGGTTCTTTTCCGTGCAGGTCAACGTGTACATTGGGCCTAGATTTTTCGTCCCATCCGAACGACTAGACACTGTCCTCCACCACTGACAAGGGGAAACCTCACTGGAAAATCTATACGACAAACTGTGCTATTCCTATTAGGTATGGAAACTTATTGCCCGGACAGGGTTCTTTTACGTGCACGCCAACGTGTATGCTGGACCTATGATTTCCGTCCTATCCAAAAGACTAGACACTGTCCTCCACCACTAACAAGGGAAAACCACACTGGAAAATCCATACGAAAAAGCCTATGCTATTCTTATTAGGTATGGACACTTATGATTTGGAAGCTTCGTCTACAGAAGGGCTACGTGATTGGATAACTTTACGACCAAAGGGCACCAGTGGGGACATGTGCGATAGGATGTACTCTATCAGTACCATCCGCCATATTGGTTCTGTTTAGACTGGTCGCCGTATAACTGCATTTAAAAGCGATTATGTTTTATTTTTTCGTCATTGACTTTAAACTTTGAAAATCTTTTCCACCCACATTCAATGTACTCATTCACCAAAAAGAAGTTTACACTAGTTTCGTGCTAATCGGAAAACCAAACAAATCAATGATTGGAAAGCCAGATGTTATAGAAAAAACGGGTCGGTCTCCTCACCTCACCTAGGTGTTAGTGTAATTCATTACTCGAACTCTCTCTACCTGTTCACAAACTACTGGCCAGTTTTTATTTAAAGCGAATTCTAACTATCTTCACCAGGGTCTATGTAGCCCTTGGTAAGGAATGAAATACGTCATAGCGGGATAATGGGCAACTTACCGTAGCGTATAGTGACATGGGTATCCTTTCATCATTATAAGATAATTTTGGTAGATTCAGATGTTCTGGTACTGTCCAACCCATTATCGCAGTAATAAATATTCCCTCCCAGACAGTGTAATCTAACAGGTGAACCCAAGACATTGTACTTTGGCAGGTGAACCCAAAAGTGTACTTTAACAGGTAAACCCGAGGGAGTGTATTGTAAAGGTGAACCCGAGACAGGGTACTTTAACAGGTGAACCCGAGATTACTTTGACAGGTGAACCCATAACAGTGCACTTTAACAGGTGAACCTTTTAACAGACAGTGTACTTTGACAGATGAACTCGAGACCGAGACAGTGTATTGTAAAATATGAACCTGGGACAGTGTACGTTAACAGGTGAACCGTTTAGCAGACTGTACTTAAACAGATGAACCTTTTAACAGTGCACTTTAACAGCCGAACCCTTTAACACACAGCGTACTTTAACATATGAAGCTGAGACAGTGTATTTTAACTGATGGACCATTCAACAGGCAGTGTACTTTATAAACTAGAGTATCCAATATTTTAACATTGGATCAGTACACTTTGAAAGTAAACAATATCCAGTCTAAACAAGGTTGGTATAATATACTTATGAACAATTTGATCATTGAAGACTTTAGGACACCAGCACGTTTTCGGAAAGAGGGGTTATTCCGTATTCTAGAACTCTGCAGGGGACAAGAACAGTTAGTTAGATTGTGATTGTCCCTTGTTAGCGTTCTGGAAGTTATCCCATGCTTACAGAGGTTGCTCCTATGGTTCAAGAACTATGTTCCAGAACTCTTGCGTCCAATCAACATTAGTAAGCGTTGGTGAATTCGAAAGTTATTTTCCACATAATTATATTTCCGTTCCAGTGCTTGTACATCGTGCTTCTGACATTTCCCATTCCTGAAATGAAAGCAGTGTCATCGATTGTTATATACGTTGGAATTTGCAGTGGGGAACAATTAGTTTACATACCTGGAGAACTGATAAAGCGTTAATGAAGGGCGTTTGTTTCTATTGTCATGTTAATGTATATGGTTTTGATGGTGATTAGCCTAGTCACTTGCCCAGTTAGCTGTTTACATCATGTAATACAAGTGTAACGCTGTCTCGATTCATGTACAACTTATAAGTACGTAGGAAATGTTGTACCACCTGGTTCATGTCGCCAATAATACTCAGGTATTCTCAAGATAAGACAACAAGTCGTTTTACCTAGTTTGCTGTAAGCTCGTTATAACAGATAAAGGGTCAATTTAAACATCTCTTTCCTTTCCTTTATACAAAATTGTAACAAGAATTCGTCCACCTCGTCTGACATGACACAACTACTAATGAAGCTGAAAGAATGGCGAAATTTAAACTACCAGTATATGGAAAATGTCGGATAACTCCTAGTTATGATAAGGCAAGGCAAAAGTACAACACAAATTTGTTAGCTATGTTAGCCAGGTGTCCAATATGATTTGAAATATTTTGTTAAGATGTAATGTGATATGAATTCTATGTCGTCTTTAGTTTCCAGTTGTCAGTGGTCGATCTAATGAGTTGGCTCCTTAATCACGGGTTTAAGATGTGCATTGTCTATTTCCGATATTATTTGAATAAAAATCGTTTGCTTCACGTTAGCTCTATGGGGGTTTCAGTGGAGTGTACTGGGGTTTAAACGTGGGTTTTTGTAAGACATGAGGTCTGTCATTGAGTCAAGTGGCATGGATTCGATTCCCAGCATGTACGTAACATAGGGTCGTCTTTCCAACTTCGTGGGTTTTCACCGGGTCTCCCTCTCTTTCTCGCTTCTTGAACCCATGTCTGTATTCGAACCCGGGACACAACCACCGCAGGCAATATTGACTTATATTTCCCTAATGCGTCATGTCCTACAATATTAATGATTCTGATGTAAAGATATGACATTGTTGAAAATGCCACTATTTATCAAGATATGTTCATCCTCAATTCACGCCGGTAACAAGGAAAATAATCTACTCGAAATGTCATTTACCTGAACATATTTCCCATTTGGATACAAGTTATTTCATGCTTAGAATGTCCGCTTTTGTCAAGAGCGTTATAAAATCAGCCAGCATGTTACCGTACATGTTTTAGATCATGCGAAACAAACACTTCAATAGTGACAGGTTGATAGTGCAGTAGGGGGGGTTCAGTTCGGTGAGTCATCGGTTAAGATTCTGTTTGATTTTGCACCCCCACCGTCACTCACCCCCTTAGTATTTCGATCTAAACATCGTTATAAAATGTTTTGGGACCCTTGATGCTTTGCTACTCGGTCTGTCCGTGGATTTAATAAATTTATGGATGTTTTCTATGTGTCAAAGTTTGTTTCTGTATGGGTTTGCACCAGTGAGTACTTTTAGTTTAAATTGTAATTTTATTTTACAAACATGTCATGAAATCTGATACATTTTCTATTGTTTGACTTACATTTTAACATTATTGACATTAAACTTAACAATCTCTACATGTCGTGCAATACTCAAGGTATACGGCGTAGCAAATCTTTGTTCACTGGAAGTAAGCCCAAGGATTTGATAAATGTATTTCCTTAATTCATATAAATTATCTGTTATTATTATCTTGTAGTTATTTGTTTATTTGCCATTTTAGAGGAAGCGAAATTGATTGTGGTCCGAAACCATTATGTGCAGAGAGTCGTACCCGGCTCCTAGCGGATATGCAACACATACGACTTCACGGGTGATTCGTCAATTCTTTAATATACCGGAAGATAGATATGCTTATAGTATCATACATAATGACAAAAGCCAGCTAGTGACATATTGACAAATGTACAGTTTCGTTATATTTAAGGAAAATCTAATAATTAATAATAGGACTAAAGTGCATACTGAAATTTTATTTAAAGTGGCATGTTGCTAAAGTGAAAGTTACATACAAATTATGAATAATCATTTTCATGAACAAAAACGATATATGAATTTACTTCTTTAACCCGTGTGCAAACACGTCGCACGAAAACCTTATTGGTAACCCGGGGGTAATCTAAAACCCTAACCATAGAGGGTTTATTTATGCATAATTTTAATCAAATACGACAAAACTAGAGCTTAATAATATTAATGTTTAAAGTCAATCAAATTAAGAAAAATATTATAGGTAATAACATTAAGCTATGAATTATAAAGTGTTTTTAAAACCACCATGTAGAATCATCTTTTGGTGGGGTTGGTAGATTTCCTAGATTTGTTTACAGATTTAGCATACTGGAATGATCAAATCAAAACCTTGCTAGTCATTTCTTCTGATGTGCACTTTGAATTAACCAGAGTAGACAGTGTTCACACCGATAGGTGTTCCTGTTACAGTGAACAGATACCACTAAATGGCGTGTTTATATGGCTAAAGATCTTGTTTAAAATCGTAAACCCTGTTTATTATCCATGTATACTACCGTACTCATTGACATAACATGATATTCATTGATTGATTTCTTGCTTCAAGTGTTCACAACATACTAATTAATTTAATCAATTATGGTTTATCCCATAAATAACAAACATCGTCAATCCTGTCAACTGTTTTACTATAATATATCCTTGGATAAAATTTTTACTGTGGTGCGATATTTCCTTTTCTTCGCGGAGGTAAACAACCTACGGGAATAGCAGGTCTAAAGCACTAAGTAAGCTCCAAGACCATAATAAACTTGATTGCCCGAGGCTTTACGTGCATTTGCAACCCTTCTAGAGTAACTTAGAAGTGTCTTTTTAATACTCTAACAGTAAACATTCAGACGAGGGCCACCAGGCGACGAGAAACTTGCACAGGTTCGGGGGATTAAGACCAATCACATAACAAAAACGGACAAAATATGTTAATGCATTTGGGGATTTCGTCCCACCAAGGAGGAATGTGGAGTTCTTTTTATAGCAGAGTTACAATTTTACTTGTAATTAATGTTTCTCATCCTCTCTTAAGTATAGACAACGTAACAAGATTTCTTGGCTACATTAAAAGATTGATCAGACGTTATTAACTTCCCAGTTTTGGTTTCTATAAATAGCATAATTTCACAATCAAATAACCAGTTAGTTACCAATGAAGGTAATTCCCAACACAAGGAAACACCCATGAATGAAATAATGCCTGAGTTTCGATAATTAAGAGCACAATTTTGCACGTTAGTCATCCGGAACCCGTATGCGATTGCATACCATGCGCTTCCCTAAATGTAATTTTAGTAACGTGGTTATCTTTTAAATACGTGCACACAAATTTTATGCCATTTGACGACTATTCTTTATAAGTAATGTGGCTATCTTTTAAATACGTGCACACAAGTTTTCTGCCATTTTATTATATGCTGTGTTAAAGACATTATTACATTTGGCGACTATTCTTTGTAAGTATGTTTAACCTTCACTGTTTTCTTTTGACATCCCTATGATGGAAGTCTCTGGTCGTCATTGGGGGGACTTTGAAACCCATGAAAACTACAATATTACTAAATGAATATTAATCCGTTCAATTCTGATCAGTATTTCCATACTGATATGATGAATTGAAAATTTGTCAACATTCGGCATCCACTGCAGACGATATGTCAAACATGGTCAAAATCAGTCAGCCTCATCTATAATCCTCGCTAAAATCTTTTGATGGACCTCTTTTTAATTCGACTGAATTAAAGCCGGGGGATTATCTACTGTTGATATTTTGTGATGTTTTGATTTTGTTACATAATCACAGTACTTACTCCGTTAGGTATTATCCGTAATTAAAATGTTAATGACGATCAGCGACTTTAAGAGAGAGCTTATCCATTCCATTCATTCCATTCACTAATCAAAATAACCCATCAGGCTATCACATCAGACGAATGATCATAATCCATTCATCGAATTATTGCTTCGTTTAGCTATAAGTTGCTACGGGTGTCGCGCAAGGGCCAAGTTGCTACGGGTGTCGCGCAAGAGCCAGGATAACTAATCCCACACACGCTTACGTATATACATGCCTGACCATTCATTGAATGAGCAGTAACGTAATGTACATCGTTTCTCGAGCTATATTAAATAACACTTAGCTACACTGTTATAATGTAAGGGGAAGAAACTAAAACGGATTCGTTTCATTTAGAGTGATAAAATTCGCTTAGGGCTAGTTCGTCGAGTTTGTGGTTTTTAAGTTCACCACGTACTATAATGTTTGGTGTTTTAGACCGTTAAAGGCGCAGGTCCTTGTTTAATACCAGTGTATATTCTATAAGGCTATTTACCGTCAACAACTTACCAAAGATGTTATTGCATTAACATTAATACAATAGAAACCACGGAAATACCCTTTAATATATACGTCGCTCTGACACAAATGTTAAAAGCGTGTTATGTATAATTCAGATCGAACCAAACAAAATCATTTCTTTTTTTATCCATACAAAACACATATTTGACGGTATTTATGACCGGGATTCGTGTCGTCAACCTCTTTTTACAGGATGTATGTAGGCTACTGAACGTTGATTGGCTCAGTGGGTCCTGATTCTTGAATGACTGAACTGCTACTTGTGGAATTCCTACATTTCTAAAGAATAAAAATTGATCA